TATTGCATAGTAAACATTACAAACTTATTATCACTGAATCAACTGCCTTTTGGTGTAAAGAAACCACCATTGAGAAAACAGCATGTGATTTCCCTGTTTTAAGTAAATCTGAAATTGGGATTCTTTTTTCCATGCGTTTGTGTAATATAGCATAAGTCGTATTTCAGTTGGCTCAAATTCTTATCCGTCTATGAAACTTGGAATCTGTCCCCCTGCACTCACTTGAACCCACGGCCCCTCTGGTCTGTGAGCGAGCCAGCAGACAACGTCAGATTATGCTGCCGTTCCATCTGTCTCAGCCACATGAGGTACAATTGCACAAAGCTCACATATCATAAAGAAGAGGAATTTTCCTCCAAATGTGGAGCTCCACTCATTTCTAAGCCAACCTGGAGACAAATGAGCTAAAGCAATGTTTTATGGGAAATACAATATAAAAAAGGGCAGACTGGTTTTGTTGATCCATAACCATGACTGCAAAGGACATATTTTGTCTGTTTTGTCCCTGAGCTACAAACTCTGATGTGGCCTTTTGTTGACCTCAGAGCTGAGCAGAAATTAGTTTAGACACGACTGGAGGTCTTCTGGTTCCCTTAGTGCCTGCATTCTTAGCATGCTTTGTTGCAGAAAATCTTTAAGTACAGATTTGCCATTTCGATGGTTTATTATACACCTACAGTCCGGGGTTGTTGTTGTTTTTGTTTTTTTTTTCATTTCCACTTCTCGTTTAGTATTTAAGCTCTTCTTTCACCTTCTACATTTGCTGGATCTTTTGTGCCTTGATTCCTCGTATCATTTTGTTCTGTTATTCTGCCCTGACTCCCTGTGTGTTCCATTTACCATCATATGTTTTCAGTTTTGTTTTTACCTAAAGGGGCCTTTTTTCTTTTTCAACATTCCTTCAATTATGGCAAGTCATTCAAGTCTTGAAACAGCAAAACAGCCCCAGGCTGTCACACAACCACCACTGCAATGTTTGAATGTAGGTAGGAAATGTGGAGGGACCCATCTCTTTCTGAAAGCAAGCTTTTGTCTTTGCAGTGCACAAAATATTTTCCTAAAAATCTGAGGATCATCAAGATTTTTTGGGTGTTTTTTTTTTGGTAATGCTATTTTGGCCAGCAGTGGTTTTCACATTCTAGCACTAAGATAGATGGTATTTTGCCCAGACTTTGTGTTGTTGATGAATTAATCAATGGTGAATTCAACTGAGGTAACTGAGACCGTCAATGCTTTTAATATTGTTCTGTTTTTTGTGATGTTTTGGATTAATCATAAAAGGACTGTTGAAGAATCTTTGACAGGCATTTGTGTGGACATTTCCATCTTTTCCATGTCTTCACTGTTTTTGTGTCCTAAGATTCAAAAGATTTGAAATGAATTTCTGTGGACTGGAGTCAATCTGTTGCTCTTTGAGTTAATGCTAACCTACTTCCTGCTGGCACACAAGTTCTACTAAAGTGATTTCTTGATTTTATGGGTCATTTATCAAGTTTGATTGAATGAAACAAATGCAGCTAATCAAATTCAATTCATAATTTAATAAAGGTAGCACTGACTTTTTTCTAAAGAACCATTTAAGAATTGCTTTTTGGATTTACTGAGCTTATCTTGGTCACAAATATGAAACATTTTGAACAAATCTGTTAGGAAACTTCTTCATGCTGCTGCATTTCAGTAAGCGCTTCATCATGTGACGTCCCGGTGGAAGGCTTGCAGAGGAAAGGAAGAGTGTCAGATGAAACAGATGCAGAGGATTATCACTTTTAGGCTAATGTGCTGGATACAAACAGATTTTGTGAAAAGCAAAAGAGGCTGTCAACTCAGCCAGAACAGGAGTAAGATGGACAGTAGGTGGAAATCAAGAGAAGAGAGAAGGAGAGTGACAAGAAAAAAATTGCTGAAAAAAACCACAGAGAAACTGAGGAAAGGAAAGAAATTGGAGTCAAAACTGAAAGACACAAAAGGGAAAAATCACCCGAAACATTTAAATGAGTCAGTTGACCCTTTGCTTCGCAGCATTAGGATTCATGACCTGGGAGTAATGAGAATGGCGAAACAACTGACAAGTTTGCATCCAGAATATGAAACGTCTCTTTATCTTCCTGACAAGCCTACATTTATTATGTGAGATAAAGACACACACACACCAGATGTTTGAATATACCGGCTTGCAGAATGCTGCACTATGTTGACTTTTGCATATCATTTCACGTTAACGGTGTCAGAGCAGTTCCACATGGAGGCACACTTTTTATTTAATAAAGATTCCCTGGAAAAAAGCACCGAGCCTCGTTAATAATCTGTCAAAAGGCTGCTTGACAGCAAAAATTAGGACGCGTATGTGTGTTCGGTAACAGATATGTGCAGCTGTGACTGAGCAGCTAATGAAAGGCGTGCTGTCAGTAATATCCCATCACTGAATAAAACATGGGCTCTTGCAGATCCACGAATGCTTTACTCAAGTCTTGTGGCTTTCAATCAGGTGGGAATCGTTGCACACACATGCTCTCCTTCATCATGGAGGTCTCAGTGGTTATATGTTATGTAATACGCTCAGGAGGACAGGTGTGTGTGTTGGGGGTGCGGGGCTTCTCATGCACTGTTCACGCTCTGGCTTATCGCCCCGGGGCTCTGCTCTGAGCTTGGTGTGACTGATAAGCATTGTGTGTGTGCGCATGAGACTGAAAAGAGAGTGCATGTTTCAGGCTTTAATCAGGTGTGTACACAGAGGGGCCTTATACTGTTAATATAAAAATGATGTGTGTTTACTGGCTTCTTGTCAATCAGAGGCTGAACCAGCTTTTTCACACTTTTTAAGATTTCAGTCCTCATGCGTCATTTTCTGGGAGAAATGAGAGAGTTTCAATGCAATGTGATTGAGTTCAGTTTCTGAAGTTCTAAATGTTTCAAACAGTAATAAAATATGAGAATATCACTTTATTTATTTAAAATGTCTACAAGTACAGTTAGTCCTCTTGGTTAGAGTACTTAGAGAGAGGGATAACAGTTAGTCTCCAGAAAGTTTCGGATCTCTTCTCTTCAGCTTATCCCACATATTATTTTAGGATTTAGGTCTGGGACTAAGATGGCAAAGGAAAGAGATTAATTTTGTGTCTGGTGAATGTCTTATTGGATTATTTTCTTTCTGTTCTACTCTAGGGTTCTTCCTGTTAGGAAAATGAAGCACTTTCTTTCCACTGTCGCCACATGCTAGCTCAATATTAGCGATTTCTGCAGCTGATGCTGTGAACCTCCCATTGGTGCTACAAAGTATAACATTTCTTTGAGCTCACATGATTCTGTTAAAAATTCCAATTTCACTGGATGATAAAATGTCTATATTGTGTGGACTGTGGATGTTAGCTTTTTCGGTTATGCCAAGAAGGTTTTCACTCTGTGTATTAATGCATATTGAAGTATATTTGGTGACGGAACTACTAACAAACAATTATGAAATGGGCCTCAAGTATTTAAGGAATTCAGGTATTTGTGGGTTGCTTTGATCCCCAACCTCCACAAATTATGGCGGTTGTATTTTTGTAAGATTTGCTCTGAAAAGGGTTACAATTTTACAATTTGAAAGGAAAATTGCAATAGTTGTTCCCTGACGATGGATTTCATCAAACACGTCAAACACAATCAGTGTGAAAATCCACACGGATAACGAACAGCAGTTCTCTTTGTGGTGTGGGACAGGGTTGTAATTTGAGTCTCAAGGTCATTGGAAGGCCTGAATTCACCATGACAGTGACAGTAATAGCAATGAGAGAAGGTGTTTCATCTTCAGTTTTCTTGTTTTTACAGTGTCCATTGCCGGTGTCTGTTTTTTCTGCAACATTGGATACTTTTCAAAGAAAGTATGTAGTCCTTGTCCTTGTAGTAAGGACTTTGCTTTATTTCCTGCTACATGCATGTGGGAGTCTGTAGAATCCAGTTTAGGATAAAGATGTCTCTTTGTTATAGAGCTTTGTTTTTTTTTTTTTTTTTTTTTTTCTGAAGTTATTTTTACGTTTAACCATCAGATATATTTTTGGGACATTTGCAAACGGTTTGCCAGGCAGTTTCTTCACAGTTACAATCCACATTTTCATTTGACAGAGTCTCTGATGCAGGTCATTCTCACAGTTGGAAATGTTATGAAACAGCATTTATGCAGAAAAGTGGTTACTCTCTTGAAATTGCTGTTTTGCTTACTTGAAGAATAGATAGGTCTGTTTGTGTTTGGATTGAAATAGCCACGGTATTAACAGATGCGCATAATTGTCTAGCAAGTACAAACCAGCACAGGACAGCAGAATAGCAGGAACCATTTAAAGCTAACACTATGTATATTTGCACACACTTGCTTGTTGGATTTCTGGCCAGGTAAACATAACACACAGCCCCACCAGGCTTGGCATCATGATGGATATGAATAATATTGTCTACTACAACCTAAACCCACATTACATTGTTCCTCTAATAAATATGCAATAAACCAACTAATCTGTATCTGAAAAGGCAACCAATAAATGTTTCAATAGCAGCTTCCCCTTCAGAACAGTGAACAGTGAAAGCACATAAAATCTCATCAATTAGATTTAATTAATTAGGATTAAATAAAACAAGGCAGACGTCAGGACCAATTCCAAGGAATCAGGCTTCAACCCGTATTCCAGTGGTTTAATAACACTGGTTTAACAACATCGAGGCAGCAGTGGGATGATAATGCCTACTGAGGTAACTAATGACTATTCAAGTGTCTAAAAATAAATAAAATATCTATTTCTGGAATTATTAGGCATACAGAATCTCATGCATAAACACATTCACATTCAAATAAATGATGCATATTCAATTCTCTGAAACTGACAAAATCAAACAGTGTGCAATATAAATATATTCCCACAGTAATTTCTTGTGAATCTTTATTGCTCCTAGGACAATTTTTAGAGTTCTCGACAACTTGAGCTTTAAGACAATGTAAGTCTAAAAGTGAAAGCAGGCAAAAGACTCACAGTGGCACAACACATGAAGACGATGATGAAGGTCCCGATAACACCTCCGATTCCAACCAGCCAGGTCATCCTGAGGAAAAGGATCACTCCAAAAATGTTCTGGATGCAGGGCATGTAGACACCCATCAGGGTGCCAAGCTGAGGGGCCTGGATAAAAATGAGAAAAACAGACAAGTCAAATTTTACTATTCAAATTATAAGTATTTTTTTGTGTGTTTTGCTAAGCGTAAAACTGTTGTCGTACTTTATGTTTTTGAATTTCAATAAGCCATCACTTCTCAGAGGGTGCAGACTTGGCTCAGTGTCACTGCCAGATTGCTGTAAAACTGACTCCCAGATGTGCATTATCAACAGAGATTTCTGCTACATTTTGGCAGGTATGACTCAGTGAAAATTGAGATAGCACCAATGCATGCTGAGAAGCACAGCTTGAAAACCTGCTTTAGTTTAGATGTTTTGTCCATTTTTAGAGACCGAAGCAAACAGCCCACATCATACTCATGTTAAAGAAAAATATACATTTATTAGTAGGACAGATGATTCCTACCAAATCCAAGTTTGTATCTTTTGGTGTGGATGACTAATGTTGAGTCTGCTGCTGTTGAAGAATCGAAAGATAAATTCAATTTTTTATTTGTTTTTACAAATATATTACCAGTCGTAGAAAACTCTCTATGTATTTTCACAGACAGAGTAGCTCTAAAGACAAACAGCAGACTTCTAGAAAACCAACAAGACACTAATTGCTGAAACAGTAATCTGGTGTGAAAATAAATCACTAGAATTGAGTTGAACAGTTCTTCTATATTTTTATATATATTTTGTACAGCACTATATTTTTGTAACAAGCTGTGCATTCTTATTACATTGTATTTAGTGAGAGATTGGGATGGTAACTGATACCTTTAGTTTAGCTGTAATTTTGCTTATTGTATTTGAAATTTAAAGTTCCTTGTTTGTCACTTCAGTTAGACTTGCGTTTGAAGGTCTACCATTTCTTCATTTAACTTAGCAGTAACTATAGAATGAATATTAATTTAAGACCTCCCACTCATACTTTTTGTAAGATGAGGTTAAGAAAGCTAATTTTGACTCAGAAAAAACAAAGAAATGTTGTGATCACATGGACAATCTCCTGAGCGCCCAGAGGGGATTAAAGGATTCCTTTACCATCTTTTGTTTTTTATTGTAATAGATTTGTTCAGTTTTACAGTACTGTTGCTGCACTTTTGTCCCTATTGTGGATCAGTGAATAAGCAGAAAGATTCCATTTTTGATCCTTGGATACTAGACATCCATCCTGTCACAGTTTACCCACAGAAAGCTTTTGTCCTTGATGTTACTGTGAGTATACATCTGTTTGTATTGTGTGCGATAGCAGTTTGTCATCCTGAGTGTGTATGAGCCTGCATATCTGTGATGGAGTATTTTAAATCAGAACAACAAATGCAATGACCTCACATAGAAATTTTCATTTCCTGCTCAAGGACAGCTGGTCAAAGATGTGTAATTATCCACATATCCAGCCCTGACCCAGTTTACCAAGTGAAAGCATCGACCTCAGCCACAGAGAAGAGCTGAGGTCTCTACTCAACAAAGAAAAACAGAGGATAAATTAGGTCCAAGTCAAAATATGGCTGCCACAAAATGAGTGAAAAAGAACAATGACTCTTGCGACTATTGGCATCTCTGGAGATTATTGTGAAGAAGGATTGTTTGTAAAATGAACAACAAAATGGACAACCTTGAACATCCTCAGCACAAAACAGCAGTAAAAAAAAAAAAAGTCTTGAGCTGGACGTGTCATCAGATTTGTTGTAATAATGACCACAATAGGAAGTTCTTCCTACTCATGTTCATAACCGCCTACAATGACCCTGAGAAGCTTGGATAATTTCAGCTGCGATAACATTTTGTCAATTCAATATTTAGCTTGAAACTGTAACATTTAAAAATGAAAGAGTAAAATGATTAAAAAAATATGAGTTTGGAAAATGAACCCCCATTGTGTTCCCTTATAAGAGGCTGAATAACAAAAAATACTGCAGTCAATTTGACTGTTTAACTTTACAAATGGGACCCATAGGCTACAAAGCAGCAACTGCCTCACAGATGACATATTTTATTGAAGATCCTTTGTTTGATGTTGTTGTTTTTTTTGGCTTTCTATGCAAAAAAAAAAAAAACAATGGCAGTGTCATTTGGAGTAATGATAATGTTTTGTTTTTATTAAACAGGCTAAGTTTCTTTTGCATTGTCTCACAAGATTTAGGGATACAAAATCTTCAATTTCAGATTGTTGACCTCAACATGACTGCATTGGGATTTCCTGCTGATCCAACCTAATGGATATTAATAAATTATTCTGTTATAGCTAATGATTAATGTTTAAAAATACATTAAGTTCATCTCAGAAAGTTAGTTGTGCATTTGAGTGAAATGTGTCTCAGTTGTGCTCTCCTCCAGGTTACACTTTGACCTACTACCTCTTCTACAACTAAATCCTTCCAGCAGGGAGCATCTCAGCCTTCAGCCCCGCTGCACTTTAATCAAAGATCCGTGTCTTGGCCTCCGCAGGCTGCTCAAGGGAGCAGCTAATAACAAACCTCCTTCATCTCTGTCACATCCCTCGCCATATGACAGTGATTTAAATAGTCTTCCTTTTGTCTGTTGTATGTAAATCTGAGTTTCGCTCAATGTGACTGTGTCCTTCAAAGGAGGAGATGATTTTTCATCATCTTGACGTTAAGGCCCTTTTCTAACTCAATGAGCCCAGAATGGGCTTCCACTTGCACAGCTGCATTTGTCTTATCAAAGCCATAGTTACTGCTTGGAAAGTATTTTAACCTCCTGTACACCTGTACTACAACTGCATGTTATTTTACAATACACACAAGGAGAATCAGTGACTGTCTGTTTGTATTAGTCATTATTTAGACCCCTGTAAAGAAGCTGAAAATAACAAGAGTATAAAAATCTAAATATGCCCAGTTATTTTAGAAATTCTGAAATTATAAACTGCCACAGTTTATATTCTTGCAAAGTTAACCGATGAAATGACATCTCTATAATATAAGTATATGTTTCAGGCAATAATAATAAAAATACTGTAATCTTTGTTGATTAATAGAAGTGTATTCACTGAAGCCCAATGTCTGTCTTTCTGTCTTACAAAACCTGACATAGTCACCTCTTTTAATCTCCAAACCCTTTTTCTCTATCTCCCATTAGGAATGCTGTAATTAGTATGACTGAATTTGCATTGGCAGGACCTTCAGGGACTCCGTGTGTACTCTACAATAGCAGTCAGGTGTTGCAAGCACACAGGTATGCCTACGGTAATCACTTTGCTTTTACGTGCAAAACTGCTGCCACTGCACAAAGCAGGTTGAGGTCAGTTTGTAATAAAACAGGTAGGCCATTAAAGGAAAACCTGTGTGGATTTGGAAAGTGTAGTATTTTCTGATTTACTCTTTTGTTTATTTTTTCTCTATTTAACAAGAAAATTCCCACAGAGAGTTCCAACTGTGCAGAAAAAAAGACTTCCTTTATAATACACTCATAAAAAGGTAAAAACATAAAAAAAACGTAAGTATTTTTTTCTTCAGATGTAATGCTTCCTTCAGTTTTATGAAACTGAATTATAGGTAGATAAATATACGGAAAACGCACAATTATAAATTACAATTTAAGCATGAAGTTATTCCTAGACTTCAAAAGAAGAGTCTTAGGTACAATTTTACATATTAAATGTTTTTGCTCTCACATATTTAACCATCTGAAAATGTGTTTATGGGAGACATCACTCAACCAAAATTTTCTACAATCCTTTACAGTCTGCAAAATGTCCCCTCTCTTGTCTGCTTCTTAACACAACAGGGAAGCTGAAACAAGCAGACCTTCTCTATTCAGCTGCTATGTGAGGTGCTCAGCTGAGCGTTGAAATGCAAACCAGACATAACAATAGGCAGGTTCTGAAAACCTGCCTGAAAATCCTGTTTGTTACATGAGATGAACTGATAATGAACAACTGGAATCCGAGAACCTGAATATGATAAAACACCTCTGCGTTCGATGATCAGAAACCCAAACACAAAAATTTGGTGAACTAATAGATGCAATAATGACTTTATATTGGTAAATAGCCGGAAACAGATGGAACACTCGTGTATTCACTGAATTATTGACCCTGTGGGAAGGAAAAAGGCTGGCCGCTTATTGAAATTCTCCCTTTTCTATTTGCGTTCAATTTGTGCATCATTAGCCTGTTTGTGGACAGGAAATCCAGACACAACCAGCGTCTGGTCTCATAGATGCTTACACACTCACACAGAATGAGTCTGTTTAATGGGCTTTGAGCCAGGAGAGTGATGATTTCCCAGGAGAAAGAGCCACCAAAAACAAAGAGAACAGGAACTGTTGCAGAGCTACAGGTAGGCCAGCGTGGCACCATTAAACTAGCGAGGAACAGCTGCCCACTGACCCCTTGGGACATGGAAGCAGCTCGACGACTGAATGGCTCAGGTGTGCTTCACAAACAACGGGATGTTTTAATTCATCTGCTGTGACATCTACTTTAGAGTCACTGCCTCCTGCGGCTTCAACTACCCCAGTTAGACTACCACAGATTTTCTATAGCTGCACCTCACTGACTCCACAGACTTTTGAGGTCAAAAAGTTATTTTTAGACTCTATTTTTAACCCTACATTAAAAGTTCCTCAAATTAAATGATTTGATTCTTCTTTTTTGATCTCTTTATTTATTAAAGATGTCTTCAAAATGTTAGGGTAAGTGATAGATGTTTGCTTCCTCTAACATGAGGAAAAATATGGAATGTCTGAAGCATCAAGTGTCATATTGTATTGTAAAGTCTGTATCTTTAAATGTTACACACATTCTCATATGCATATTTTTAAAAAAGTGAGCCAGCTCAGATGCACATCCCTAAGATTACAAGTCTGATATGTTTTATTTCTAATAGATGTACATTTTGATCATTTTCTGTTTTGTCAGTCTTGCACAGTATTATTACTATTATCATTGTTATTGTTAATCTTGTTTTAAAACAAAATCATAGTTGCTCCTGCAGAGCTGAGAAAAGCTGTGTCTCCACACAAAAACTGTAATAGACTTCCTGCAAGCTGCA